TTCGTGCCCGACTTACATTTTGTTCTCTGAAAGCACTTCAGCTTGCAGGACGTGATCTGTCCGTTTGCAGAATGAATGCCTCAGAGGAAGCTTTGAACTTCAAGTCCTCATATTGAGCTAAATTTATGGAATTTAAGTAAAATTTTGAACACGTGTCCAACAATTGTAGACCTAAAATCCTCCCACGAGTGTTTAATTGCTCGTGAGAGACGTCAGACATCTGTGTTCAAAACAAAAATGATTTTTTTTCTCCAACCCTCAAAGCCTCAGCAGTCAGTTTCATTATGCACAATGTGCCATTGAGCAAGGACAAATGAAATATTTAGTCATTCAGATTCAAGAACATGTTGAGCATATTAATAAATATGTAATTTAGCTTTTAAACTCAGCGCATGTTCTTTTTTCTTGTCACACACGTCAGTGATTTTTCTCAGTTATTACTGTTGATGTATTCACTGTTTGCAGTCTGAGCAGAACTGATTTAACCTACAGCCAATAATACCTTTCTCATCCATATTAAACTAACATGTAGTTGTCAGCTTAAATGAGTTCAACCCAATATTCTATTGTCACTAAATATCACCAGTCAATGCACATCCCAGCAAATCAAAAAATCAAGACAGGTACTTGTGCCAGGATCTAACTAACCATCCGCGGGAAATAGACCGAGAGGTGAAGCCAGTTTGTCACTTTGAAAAGATCATGCGGTGATTTTAGTGATAAGTTTGAATTTGTGAATGTTTCATCACCATATGAAATACCTTTGACAGCACCTCATAAATCACTCCACAGAATGTTATGTGATTGTGGAGACAAATAAAAACTGAGAAATAAATAATGTTTAAAAAAATAAATAATGTGAAGAAGTGTAGCTCAGTTTTACATTTGAAACAATTTGAAAAGTACTCAAGTTTAGACCTGTTGCGATAAACAATAAATCAATTAATCGTATGATAAATGATAATTATCTACCTCATTTTCATTTATCGGCTTTATCGTTTCTTTCGTTTCTTTCTACTGAAGACACTGGATGAAAAGGCTCAACTCCGGTGCTCTTCACTGACCCCTCCCTTTCTCTTTAAAATCTGTTTTAACCGTCCAAAATGGCATTTTTGGATCGTTAAAAGCAGCTAAGCTACGAGCTAAGCTAACAGGCTGACCTCGGGAAAAAAAATCTCCATCTTGTCATAGCTCCAAAATTCACAGTTAAAACTTGTGCCTTCGTGTAAAAAGTTGTTTTTCCTCTGCAAAAAGAAGTTGAGAACTTGGTTACTGATTTTTTTTTTAAATTAAAAGCTTTGTGTGACAGACGCTATGCTAAAGAGCTCAAACCACACAGAGCGTCCGCCATTTTGAGAACCGAAAAACCGGAACGAGAGACAGCCCATGTCACGTCAAGGGGCCTCCCTCCCATTTTTCTTAAAGAGACATGCTGCTCGCTCTCTCACTATCCATCCTTCAGTTCAAACAGTCTTTTACTGCCATCCAGTGATCAAAAATGGTACTACACACAAAAATTAACCAACATTTCTTCTTAAATTTGACAATAATTACCACAGGTAAATATTGTCAAATTTCAAACAATATTATTGTTTATCGCAATACTTTTACAAGACAATTAACGGCCAAGCAAAGTTCATCTTGACAGGCCTACTGAAGTTACATTTAACTGTTGCAACCTCTTAAATGTTAAAAAAATAAAATAAAATAACGTCAGGAGATGAAGATGTTGAACATGTATGTTTTCTGTTTCACACTTAAACCATAAACATTAAGGATAAGGTAATCCTCCCAAATGTCCCAACTGTATAACTCTCCTCTCTGTACTCCCCCGTACATCTGTTTCATCTAAAATCATTAGGAATCACAGCACATTGATCTAGTTTTTGCCAGTCATCTATTTTATCTGCCCACTTTTCCATGCAAGGTCTTAGGGGAAGGGGCTTGGTACACCATGGACTCGCAGAAGACTTGAGTTGTTTAGACATGATTATAGCATGCATGTTGTCTATGCATGTTTAACCTTCAAATTAAGCACATCAGACATAACAAAGATGGTGCATATGGTAGATTGGAACCTGTTTGTTCTGCAGAGTCTACAGAACCTAGTAATACTTCTAATTTCATGTTATGTTCCTGTCTGGCTCCGACGCATGTCGATGGGTCCCAGGACTATTGGGTGTCAATCAGAGGCCACGCACCCCAGTATGTGGCAGAATATTGTCTGGCTTCCAGCAGGGCTCGTTCATATTAATAATGCATGCATTACTGTTCTGAAAGGCCGCTTTATTGCTTTCACTAAATGGCACATATTAATCATCTCAACATCTTTTTAATGGCTGATGAAAATGGACAAGCAGTGATTCATTTCCACCTTAAATCACATTCCCTTTGTTTGTTCTAGTATTTCTAATGATTGATTTGTTTTATCTGTCCTTAAGTTAGAATTGTCTGTGTGTGAATGAGCAGCAGGAGGTAATAACTGCTGAGTGACATCTCTTGTCATCCCCTGGAGAAACCATGCAGGTGGCAGGTTGACAGTGTTTAGTCTGAAATGGATGCAGCTGACAGGGGAGATGTCTCCAAACATGTACAAATTTGAGAAATTATCTAGATCTTAAATGTGTCTCTGTTTGTCACTAAATAGAAAATGATTCAAGTTATAACGCATTACAAGTCTTAAAAAGTTCTAATCTATCATGCATTCATCATGCATCATGGAATAAATCACTTTTAAATCACTTCTGATTGAGACATTTCTAGTCTTTTTTTTTGTCAAATCAAAGATGAGATAATTTTAAAATGCTGGGAAAAATGTCACTACATCAGAAGATGTGTATGTGTGTGCATATATATATATATATATATATATATATATATATATATATATATATATATATATATATATACAGTGTTTCCCCTACCATTATACAAACGGGGCACGCTGTCAACAGAACCGAGCGACCCTTCTACTAAACCACACGCACCCCACTCCCACCCACCTGTCGGAATTGACGTAACGCTAAGCTAGTGGCTTGTAATACAGGTGTGCTAGCTAAAAAGCTAAAGGCATTGTCATTCACCAATCTGTTACAGAACCTGATTCGTAGTGTAGGTCATTTACGCATGCGCTAAAAGGAATACTTCCGGGTTGCAAGGATCGCTGTTGAATATGCTAGATTAAGGAAAATGTACTAGTATAATTTCGTTTATGAATAAGAACTGTCTTAATTCACTTGGAAAAGTATGTGCCCTATGTCCGCCGATTTTCATGTTGCATATTTACGCGACTCGTATTCCCGTTAAAATCATTAACATAAAAATGCCCCCCGGGCACTTTCAATAGCTGCCCACTGCACCACCTGGTGGTGGATGTGTTAAATGCAAGATACTAATTTCGCCATTGTATGGAAACATACAGTGATGACAATGTGTAACATTATTATTATTATTATTATTTTAATATTATGTACAACATGATAAAATTATATGCAGCTTCACCACTGAGCGGCGCTGTTTCACCATGGAAATAATTCATTCTGTATTTTTCCATTTACCCTTTATTTATACAGGCAGTCTCATTGAGTCACGAGAACTCATTTTCAAGAGAGACTTGTTTGGGAGCAGATGATGGGGGTTAGGGGCCTTGCTCAGGGACCCAGAGTGGGGCGAATGAGGGTGGAGGCAGGTGTGGGTGCTTCACCTTTACCACCCACATTTTGATGTTGACGGTACCGGGAGTTGAACTCGCGAATTTCCGATCACATTCCCATCTTCTCTAACCTCTGCGCCACCACTCCCCCATCTTGCAAGGTTTTCCTCATTCAGCCCAGGCTGGGGGTCAGGTGCGTCGCATATCATCTTAACCAATGATTTGTAACGGAAATACGTGTGGCATAAATTAGCTACATGGAGATGGGTGGAGATAGAGCACATACTTTTCTAAATAAATTAAGACGTTTTTTATTCATAAACAACGGCGATCCGTGCGACCCTGAAGTGCACTACGGGTCGTGCTTCTGTAGAAGATAGGGGAATGACAGGCAGCCAAACCTCAAAAACCGTTGGTACAAGCAGCGCACAGCTGTTTAAAATCTAATTGTTTAATCTTCACGCCAAGCCATCATTTTACTGTTTCAAAAAAGCACCCGCTGGACACTGAATAAGTTGTAACTTTTATTTATTTTTAATGTCTCAATGTCTCTGTTTGGTTTTTGTATACAAGTATAAAATTTCCCAGCATCTCATTAAACACATTGCTATGATTTGAGCTTAACATAAATCTTTACTCTTTTCCGGCATCTGTTGCAACGAACACTAAAATGTCACAGGAGAAGTCTCTCTGAAAGGATTAGTCTGACCATACAGCCAGGCCTTTGTGCAGGGAGTTTCTGCTCTCTTGATAGATCGCTGCTGCTAAACCATCCAACTTCAACCCAAACACGCTGTCTGTGTATCATGAGCGCCTCTTAAGCCGTTTGCCTCACGACATATGGCACGAACACAGGAGTGACTCTGAAACTCACAGAAGTCAAAGGGACTCACTAAAACCTGATGCTAGCAGATTATAGCAGATTTATTTAGTGGGATTAATGTTCCCAGTTTGCTTCCTTGCGCTTTCCAGTGATGCTTTCCTCAAAAGATTATTTGATATTCAATCATTCTAAAATGACAGAGTTGACTTTTCCCCACTTAATAGATTTATTGCACAGGGCGTTTATTATTTAAAGGCAAGAATTAAATTAACTTTAGAAGAATTTCACTTCTACTGTGTAGATTGTAATTGTTTTATTTTTTTATTTGATTGAAATCCAACTACAGAACCATCAGTCTTCAGTAAAATTGTGGGTGACTTTGAGGCCAAGTTAAGAAGAGCTTTAAGGATATTTTTTTCAAGTTTGCATGATAATACATTTAAATCTTAACTATCGCTAAAGTTAAAAAAAGAAATCAAGCATCAAAAGCCAAGCAGCTCTGTATTGACCAGCAGTTTAACTCACCTTGTATGGCAGGACGACAGCCGAGCCTCCACTGATGCCCACGATGGGAACAGCTGTCTGGGTGGAAATGAAGTCCAGGATCTGAGCCACAGCCTCCGAACCGACGCTGTCCTCAAACACCACGCCATGGACACGGTTGGTGGAGAGGGTGTCACAGATGCGGGTGAGCAGAGCCCGGGGGTTTGTGTTGTTGACCAGAACAGTGATGGGGTTCACTTCCAGAGGCAGGTCCATGAAGTTCTCTCGGCTCAGACGCCCCTTTATTTCCGTCTGGTAGGCCGGGCCGCTGAACACCACCGCCACGTTCACAGAGGGTGAGGGAAAGCCAAAGGGCCGGCCTGAGCAAAGTGGGATGGCACAGAACAGCAGTAGTAGAGGCGGCGGTGGCAGCCACCACGGAGAGTCGCTCCAGCAGCCTCGACCAACACCCATCTCAGTCACCTACTGCCTAAAGGAGGGGGCAGGATTGAGGGAGGGGTCAACAGAGACAGTTTACAAATTAGAACAATGGAGTACCTTCAAAGTGATCCTTGACATGGCAGTCCTAGGAGGGTAAATAGGACTAAAACTAGATTTCTGCTCTTGTTTCACAAGTTCTGAGAAAACTGGAGAAGCCTTTTGGACGAGAGTTAAATCTTGAAACAGAAAAGTGCAGATGCTTTCTATTTTTCCACTTAAACTTTGTTTTTGTTGTACCGATGTTCAGGCCTAATCTTGAGTGAGGTGGTTTGCTTTCGTTAATAACTAAGGCCCTCATTAACAAATCCCAGATTGATCTTTTAAAAATGTTTCTACAAACAATATGGAACTGTGGCCGGGCTGTTGGTTCTCGGGGCGACAGCTGGCACCCTGCTGCTGTTGTACTCTGCAGGCCAACACAACAGATGGTGGTCAGTATTTAATGCAACAAATGGAGAACAAGAGGCTTTGACATTTTTCTCTGGTCTTATTACTTTTGATGGTGCAATTGAGTTTTGTCTGCAGCTCAACATATTCAGGAAATCTGATCTGAAACATCTTCAGTTTTTTTAAACATTTTTAAGTGAAACATTATCATAAAGAAACCGAACAAACAAAGTGTATAGTGGTCATCTCGTCACCTTTCATCTTTTAAAGTCTTTGTTTTTCTCCTCTTCCAGAAATAGATTTTTTTTTTAAATGTGTTGAGGCTAGTCCTGTCGAACAAATTTTGCTGGTCGATTAAATGGTCTCAGAAATTATTGCAATAAACAATATTGTTTGAAATTTGACAATGAGTAGTAATTATTGTTAAATTTAAGAAGAGATGTTGGTTAATTTTTGTGTGTAGTACCATTTTTGACCATTGATGGCAGTATAAGACCATTTGAACTGAAGGATGGATAGTGAAGGAGCGAGCAGCGTGTCTCTAAGAAAAATGGGAGGGAGGCCCCTTGACATGACATGGGCTGTCTCTCTTTTCATTATTTCAGTTCTCAAATTGGCAGCCGATCGGTGTGTTTTGAGCTCTTTAGCATAGCATTTGTCATACAAAACTTTTAATAAAAAACAGTAAACAAGTTTTCAGCTTCTTTTTGCAGAGAAAAACAACTTTTTGCACGAAGGCACGGGTTTAAACTGTGAATTTTGGAGCTTTGACAAGATGGAGATTTTTTCCCGATGTCAGCCTGTTAGCTTAGCTTGTAGCTTAGCTTCTCAGCTTAGCTGCTTTTAACGATCCAAAAAACGCGATTTTGGACAGTTAAAATGGATTTTAAAGAGAAAGGGAGGGGTCAGTGAAGAGCACCCGAGTTGAGCCTTTTCATTCAGTGTCTTCAGTAGAAAGAGACACAAAGAAACGATAAAGCTGATAAATGAAAATGAGGTCTATAATTTTCATTTATCATGCGATTAATTGATATATTGTTTATCGTGACAGGCCTAGTTGAGGCATTAGTTTCAGTTTACCTAACAATTTGTAAGAGTTTTGTGCTGAGCTGTCAGACACAGTTAGGCTCTTTGTCAGATCTGTCACAGTCATGTTCGTAGCTCTGAGGGAGAGCTGCACACTGGTCCTCTGTCACACGGGTCTGATCCACCATGTGATGCAATCCCAGAGGGGTGAATATATTGTAATCCCTTGATAATCCCTACCAGGCTTCACGGTTTGCAGCTTGATCGTTGTGTATGAACTTATCAAGCAATAGTTGTAGCTGTGTGGTTCTGTTTCATGTCTGGGCAGAGCTCCTCCAGGAGAACACTACTTAACAGACAGACAGACAGACAGACAGACAGACAGGGAGCCTAAAGGAGCAGACTGGTTCTTCTGCAGAATATCTAACAATGTTTTTACAGTCACATCACATTCTGAGATCCAAGGAAGAGACATCAGATGTGCTTGAGAGCCTGTTCTAGCTGTCTCCTTCGTGTGATCCCCATGAAGATGCTTCCTCGTAAATCTTTACATTAATCTCCACCTAGAAAGGACATTTTACACGTTCCTTTCACTGACACGGTTCTGCTGCAACAAGAATAAAACATCTTGCGTTTAAAATGTTTGTTCAGAATTTAGGAGGATCAGCGGCTGCCAATCGTTAAAGAACTGTGATACCATTTATTACCATTTTAAATATTGGTGTTTGATAATGCCCTTATTGAACAATAGCATAAGAACATGAACTACAGCATTATTTTTTCTTCCTGTAGCAATGATGATGAAAATATGCCACAATCAATCATCTGAGAATGTGTTTATCTGGAGATGGTCTGCGGATCCCACTTTGTGTTTCAGGACAGTCGGACAGCTGAGGCAGATGCATGGACACAGTTGAATAAATAAATGCATATAGTGAGGCCGCAAAGCCACACATACAGGCCAGTTTTTTATATTTTGCTTTTTCCTTTAACCCATACATCTGCAACCTTCACAGTAGAAAGAGCCTTTTTTAACGCCCAATGAAAGGCGGACACATTATGTCTGGAAACTCTGTCTTGTCCTGCCTATCCTGTCCATCACTAGACAGTGTCTTATACACTTTCCATCACTCTAGCTTCAAGGTCAAAGTCACAGATCAAGGTCAAATGTTATACAAGGTTGTTGATGTGCACATAATGTGCCGTATGCAGTATTCTTGTTATCGTCCCTCTTTCAAAATAAATTTTGTGCAGCGCTGCAAAATCTACTTGCCAATTAATTGAGATAAATTTCTAAAACACAATTTATTTATATAAAAAACTATGGTGGTGGAGTGGTGGTGCAGAGGTTAGGGAAGGTGGACCTGTGATCAGAAGGTCACCAGTTCAACTCCCCGTACCAACAACATCAAAATGTGGGTGGAAAAGTGAAACGCCCAGATCTGCCTCCACCTTGATTTGCTCCTCTTTGGACCCTTGAGCAAGGCCCTTAACCCCCGCCATCTGCTCCCCCTGGCTACCTGGATGGCAGCTCTCTGCTCCACACAGAAGTCTGTGGTAGCTCGGTGGTCTGTAGTTGTCACGAAGGGCATCTGGTGTAAAAACAATCGCCAAGTCTTTCATAATCAGAATCAGAATGCCTCTATTGTCATTATACGCAGTACAATGAAATTAAGAGAGATTGAGATTGTTCGAGTTTGTTCACTGTGGCGACCCCTGAAGAAGGGAGCAGCTGAATATATATATATATATATATATATATATATATATAAATGCTATACTACATTTTACACTGTATTGTGACATCTTATTTTATTCCTTTACATGTAGGCAAAGAGAAAATAAGAGTGTTAGTTCATGCATTATAAAAGTGAACATAAATACACACCGATTTATTGGCTATTTAAAACTTAACCTCTTCAAACAGACACGGACTTTCTTTTCTCAACAAAAGTTTATTTTAGTTTAAAACTTTGGCATGAAGGGAAGCGGGCGATGTGCATTCTTTCCAGGAATGCTAGGCTCTTAATTGTTTGCTTGTCGTTTTTAGATTTTGGGCAGAAGAATCCACAAAGCTTCCTGCAGCAGCTGAATTATTGAGACGTTTCGTAGATTTTCGGCTCAGCTCTGCTGTTTCCCCATGAACAAATCAGATGGTTTGAAAGTTTTTCGACCGTATGAGAACAGCAACCCTATGGATGACCATGGCGTGCTGCCTGTTTGGCTCTAAAGCCAGTTTGTTGAAGTGAACCTGAGACTGAGCAGGAGGCAGGTTGAGGCTGTCGTCACGACGCTGTCGCTAACAGGAGTCTGTATGAGTCACTGGAGCTGCTGACGCAGGCAGTGAAACAATTACCAACCGATTTACTCCCCAAACTCTCCTTTACTACTCATGTGAAGACTGAACATTCAGTAACTAGCTTGTTTTAGAAAGTACTTCATTATTATATACTTGTTAATTTATAAAATCGCACAAGTTATTTCTTCTCACTCATGCACTGTGATTTTATTTCAAAGACCGCCATATGCTTAAACATTAATTTAATATAATATAGCTTCTGCACTCAGAAAGAAACAACTAAACGTTCAGTGTATTTTTGACACTAAGCTCAGTATGTTGTTTGTTTTTGTTTGATTTATGAACAAATTAATAAGTTCTGCATTATTCCCTGATGCCAAAAAGAACTGGAAGTAGGCTATATATATATATATATACATATCTATATATATATATATAATTTATATAACCATATTTTCTGCCCTATAAGTCACACCATTTTGCCTAATTTGCATGCCCTGTGACTTATATACCGAAGGGACATATTTATGGATTTTTTTCCCATATTTATAAACCAATTTTTGGCTGAGATATGGCCGTTTTCATTCATACTGACATGGAGAATATTGAACACTACCATTTTCAGACGTTATTTGGCACTCAAATTGTATGGCAAGCCATTGTGTCACGTAATAGGTAAAATTGGCTATTAATGACACAGTCTGCTTTCCATAGGGTGCCACCTTTGTTCTATTCGCTTGCAGCAACCGTCAAATCAGCTTCATTTTGTTGCACCTCCCCAGCGAAATGAAGCTGATTTGACCATTGAAGTGCATTTATTAAAAAAAAGAAGTTAAACTGAGACACTCCTTTGCTTTAATATCGAGCAAACAAATAATTATTTTTAGGTGGTTATCTTGTTAAATTTTTTAAGAAATGTGCAGGGTTCCAACTTCTGATTTCCTCCCTCTGCGCGTTCCCAGAGCAGGAGGCAGTGAATACTTTTGAAATGCAGTTGATTTGACCATTAAAGTGCATTTATTAAGTATAAGTTCAACTGAGACATACCTTTGCTTTAATTTTGAGCAAACAAATAATTGTTTTTAGGTGTTAATCTTGTTAAACTTTGAAGAAATGCACAGCGAGTCGTCCCTCTGCGCGCTCCCGCAAATCTGCTTTCGAAATGCAGCTGATTTGACCGTCGAAGTGCATTTATTAAGGAAAAGTTTAACTGAGACACAACTTTACTATAATTTTGAGCAAACAAATAATTGTTTTTTAG